ACTTGTGGGCTCGCCGTCGCCCCGGGCCGGGGCCCCGAGCGCTGAGCTCTTTCCCCCCGGCAGGGACCTGGCGCTGCGGGAGATGCCCGGGAAAGCATCTTGTCTGGCGGCATCGAGGGAGAGCGGCGGGGCGGTGGCCGGCGGTACGGGCCCAGGCGAGGCGAGGCGAGGCGAGGCGGGGGCTTGGCCTGAGCTCTGGGCTGCGGGGGGTGTCTGTGGGCCCCTGTGTCCAGCTCAGGCCACCCAGCTCCACCCGCGCCCCGTGGTGCAGCCCTGGGACCGTCTTCCAGAAAGGCCCCCGAGCACGCGAGGGGGAGGCTCCGTGACTTGCGGCCGGCTTCCAGCTCCCACCCTGCACCCGGGTCCTGCTGGGCAGCTGCTCGGCCCCAGCTGTCCCTGGCTCCCCCCTGCCATGTCCTAGGCCCCGTGTTGCCCCTGGGGAGGCCTCGTGCGCTGCAGCCAGTCCCCTGCGTCCCCTTGCCGAGCTCCCCCATCCCGGCGCCAGCGGGCGAGTTCTCCAGGCCTGAACGCCATCCCTCAGGGCCGCAGGATAGGCAGCCGGCTCCGGTTCCTGCTCATCCCGCCCTGCAGACGCCTCCCAGCCTTGATTTCCCTTCTCTTTCCAGGTCCCCGCAGAAGACAGCGGCGAGCTTCGGGCCCAGCAGCAACCGTGTGGAGTCCTCTGAGGGACGTTATCAGTGATGCCTCTGCCCCGACGACAGCTCTGAACGCGGTCAGTCGCCCGGTCTGCACGCCGTTCAGCATGTCTGTCGTAGGGTGGAGGGTTTAACTGAGTGTTCTGCAGGCCTCTTTCAGGTTCCCAAATGCCAGGGAAGGGGGAACTCTCCATCCCTGGAGGTGTCCAGGAGAGGGTGGAGGGACACTGATCGGGGATGATCTAGGTGCAGCGATGCCTGTGCTCTGCTACGGGGATTTCTCAGGCTCTGGGCCGTGCTGGTTGCCCCCTTCTCCCCTTTCTGCTCTGTGTGTCAGGGGTTTCTTTTAAGCCTCTCCCAGAGGCTGGGGATGGGGCTGGGCTGGGCCAATGCTCTTGATGGCACCAACCCCGCAGGGTCCCGGCTGGAGGGTCTTGTCCCTGTGCTCACGCTCAGCCCGATGCTGCACTGGGGCAGGAAGGGATTTCCTCCTTGCTCAGACTGGTCTGCACTGGGGGGCTTTGCCTTCCTCTACAGTGGGGGCACAGCCTGGGCCTGAGCTTTCTGCAGTGTCCATGACCCCCTGGCAGCAACAGGGTGTTGGCGGCCGCAGCGCCCCACTTTCCTGGGGGCAGGGGTGGGGGTGATGGGCCAGAAGAGGAGCTAGGAGAAAGAGTGGAACCAGGGGCAACGTCTGCAGCTGCAGGGGGGTTGCAGACCCCCAGGGCAGGCCTCAGGCTCAGTGGTACAGGGAGGGGGGAGTCCAATGGCGTCATGGACAGCATTGTGCATGAAAGAGCTCCCGGCACCCTGGATGCAAGTGGAGGGAGTCGGCCGGTGAGAGCTGTCCCAGGAGCGGGTGCTGGCGCTGCAGGGCTCAGTGGGGCTAGCGGGAGGGCAGCCAGGATGGCACATGGCTGCTCCAAATAAAGGTAACCAGGACCTACAGTCCGGGCCTGGGTGTCCCTGGGCCTCAGGCAGTGCTGAGTGTTGGGATGGTCGGTGCCAGCACCCCGGGGCCAGGTCTGGGCATGTCTGCGGTTCGGTTCCTGGGCCTATGGGACAACGCTGGAGGGGCTGTCAGAGCTGGGGCAGCTCTGGTGCTCCCCAGGCAGGTGCAGAGGTCATACATTGGGGTGCCCAGAAAGTCTGGCCCCCCAGCTCACCCTGCCAGCTTGCCAGCCCTGACACCCTGGGGAGTGTGCCTCTAGCTCCCCCTGCCCACCCCAGCATGTGTTTGTTCCCTCCCCAGGCCCGATGCTGAGGATAGAGCCAACGATGCTGATGCTGCCCTAAGGCATGTCGGAGCAGAGCCCCAGATAGGAGCCTGGCTCTGGGCATGGGGGCAGTGCTGGGGGTGGGCTCTGTCTCTCTCTGGGCCCCCCCTGGCCTGGCAGCAGCTGGCTCCTGCCCTGACCTGCCCGTGCCAGCATGAAGCGGCCCAAGCAGCCCCCGCGGCCCTTCCGCATCCTGGGCCTTTTTGGGCGGCAGCCGCGGGCCCCCAGGGAGGTGCTGGTGCCTGAGCTGGCCCCCGGAGGCCCAGCAGAGACGCGGGTGACGGTGCCTCCTGGTGAGGAGGGGGGACTGGTGGAGTGCCCGCTGTGCCTGCTGCCCCAGCCCCCGGACGCCTTCCCCACCCTGAGCACCTGCACGCACCACTCCTGCCGCACCTGCCTGGAGACCTACCTGCGCATCGAGGTGGGTGAGCGCCGTGTGCCCGTGGCCTGTCCCCACTGCCCCGTGGCCCTGTCACCCGCCGAGGTGCACCAGCTGCTGCCCGAGCCCGCCCTGCGCAACAAGTATGAGGAGCATCTGCTGCGGCGCCTGCTGGCTGCTGACCCCGGCACCCGCTGGTGCCCTGCGCCCGATTGCAGGTGATGCTGGGTCTGGCTGCATGGGAGTGGGACGAGGGCAGGGCTGGGACTGGGTCCCCCCAGCCACTCCGTGCCAGCTCCTGGGGCTCTGCACTGGCCCCTTGTGAGCTACGAGCATGGGACGGAGCATGCGGCCAGCTCCGTGCACCTGCTCAGTGCCCTGGCCGTGGGCTGCCTCCACTGAGCCATTACCCCACCTGCTCCCCAGTGACAGCGTCTCAGGGCTGGTAGGGACCTCGCAGGGGTGTGCGGCCAAACCCAGGCCCGAGGCCCCATGCTGATGGCGCAGCAGGGGTGGGGGGCTGGTGCCGCTGCGGTTCTGACCCCAGCACTGTGTACCCTAGCTATGCGGTGATCGCCTGTGGCTGTGCCGACTGCCCCCGGTTGACCTGCGGGCGCGAAGGCTGCGGCACCGAGTTCTGCTACCACTGCCGGCAGCCCTGGCACCCCGGTGCTGCCTGTGCCCCTGCCCCCAGCACTGCCGACCCTGGCACCCTGCTGATCCACCCGGAGGAGTTGGCGCATGGTAAGGGACCCACCCCTGGCTGCGCTGGACCTAGGGCACAGACTACCTGGCAGCACCCTGGCTGAACCAGCCCACCCGCCCTGCTGCAGCACGGTGCCCTATGCTGGCCCTGCCCTTGCCCCCGGGAGCAACACTGACCTGGTGCCTGGTCCTGCCTGTGCTGAGTGGTGTCTGGGCCCCTGCCCCTCATCAGGGTAGCTGCCAGGCCAGTTCCACCCCAGCAGCTCCCAGCCGTGGGCCATGGCCCGCTTGCTCTCCTTGGTGCTGGGCTGGGCGCAGGGGCTGGGTGGGGGCTGGGGCTGGGGC